CAGGGGAACAGACAGCGACAGGCTGAGATATTCAGAATTTAAATACAAAGTGTGATTCATCACTTACCACGGCTTCCTCCAAGCCACGTTACAGCACATGGAAATCTACTTGAGATGGAGTCGAAAACCCGGAAACTAATCGATGATTCCCTTCCAGTGAAATAGGAAAATAGACGCAATGGCAAGGAAAGAAATACATCAAAGGAACATGAAAACAGCATATATATGTTCTCTCTCTCTCTCGCTCGCTCACACGCAGATCACGTGTCCATGCAAAATCGCTTCGAGGCTGTTGACTCTCAGGGCTTTGTTGTGGCAAACCAAATACGTGGTTGATGTTAACGTAGCCTGTGTTCAATTCCCGTCCACGTCGACCGAGTTGTTCGTGGGTAATCCTTTCCAGCCCCACTTCGCCCGAACCAACAAGCTGTTAGTTCCGCGGTACATAATCGTTCTTACATCAGACATAAAATGACGACGTACTAACGCTAAAGATTACGTATTCCATACAATAAAGAACAGTCAGTTGGAAATGATTTGCATAGAGGACATTGTCTGTTTCAAACTTCCAGCCGTCATTCCCAGAGGGACAGAGAAAGAGATACTGTAAGGGCGATTAAATCAAGAACGATGTGACGGGCAAGGTACAGTCCACAGACCAGGATAAAATCCCTGCTACGAATTCGATAAACGCGCATGCGCAAGAATTCGCGGTGAGTGACGACCCATCCTAAAAGCATTCGTTCCACAACCACTGAACGAACAACAGACAACAATCTTTCATGTGTTCTGATGGATACAGCTTTAAGATTACCTCACAGTGGCACAGCGATTTAATCTAGAATATTATCACAACACCCGCAGAACACATTAGAGGTGCGCTCACTACACGCTACTCTTAACTGCTTGATGTTTTCAGTCTGTGTAGTAGCGTAAAACTCTGACGTATCACACTTCCCACCAATAGCAGCCCTCTAGTCCGCCAGGCAGTAAACATTCCCCCCGCACCGCAACAGAAACGACTTCCCCCAGCAGGGTTTTTCTCGTGTTCTGTGGACAGTATGTGGCGAGCTTGAGAAATGCCCAAAACTTTCAGCCGAAAAACCCTGGAGAGAACTAGGCATAACGGAACGATAAAATTACACGGGACGTGACGAAGTAAGAATTACACTGGGTTCAACTGACTCAGAATCGGGACCAACAGCGGGTTCTTATATTAACAAAGCAACGGACCTCCGGTTCGACACGAGGCAAAGAACTTCTTGTCCGTGAAAGCCAGAATCAGCTTCTTAAAGTCTTGTTTCATGAAATTAGTTGCATGGCTGGCCTGAAATTTTAACCTTCTCATACTCATTGTGAATTCGTACGGATGTGAAAGAAATAAATCATTTTAAGCTACTTTTCCAGCCAGTCAGAGGAAATCCACTTCAATCAGGGCGGCCTACCTCCCGCCCGAAAACAGAACTCGGCTGCTAACGACGCCCTAAGTTTCCACGTGTTATAGGCGACAAATGACAAGTAGAGCAAACACAAATCGCGTTGTTTTAATCCTGTGAATGAACATACGCCTACTACAACAGTGAACTCTGGAACGTAGTGAGAGATTGGAAGCCTTGACCATCTGACCTCTCCCTTATTGGAGGCAATGAGGAGACCGTGTAGTAATTCCACATCGCTCCTCCAGATACAAGGGGAGAAAAGCCATATGTCAGAAACCAAGAGTCACAGTTCGCACAAGAGAACTGACCGGAATGTATACGACCATTACAAAGGAACAGACAAGGAGAGTTCGTATAGGTAACTTTCTCTCGGATCCATTTCCAGTGCACAATGACCTAAAACAGGGGGATGCTTTGTCCCCAATGCTTTTTAATTTTGCTCTATAGCGTGTCATCAGGAAGGGCTCGAATTGAATGGTCTGCACCAGGTATTTGCCCGTGCTGATGATGTCAATTTGCTGGGGGATGGTGTGGGTACCTTAACCAAGAATCCAGAAACTCTCCTACAGGCTACCAAGGAAGTTAATGCAGACAATACTAAATACATGGGCGTAATACGGGACCAACATCAGCAACAACGGCACAACATAATCATAAGCAACACATCATTTGAAAATGTTTAAAAATTTAAGTATCTGGGAACAACAATAACAAACAGAAATGAGGTCCAAGATGAAATTAAGAGTAGAATAAATTAGGAAGGTGGTCTGTGAGGATGGTAAATGGATGGAGTTGGCTTCGTCAGAGTACGAACTAAATCCTGGAGTTGTGTGGAAATGAGGAATCACGTAACGACTTTCTATGAATGACTTCTCTACTGAAACGAACTTGAATGAATTAGCTCCGACCAACAAATTAGTCCGACCCATCACCACTGCCTTCTTACCGGCCACGACCTAGTTCCTACTGCACACGAGAGTTTAGTAAACGCATGCAATGTAGACGGCCCGGTAATCAAGTGATGTGCGCATGCGCAACACTCGTATTCCTAAGCGTAAAACATTAGTCTTTCGTACAACGATATTTCTCACACATCTTTGTTGCTTCCCGCTGCGCCGCTGTTCGTTCTATCGTTATTCATTTATTTTTGTTCCTATTTCATAACTTCCAGCGTTGTGAAGTGTTACTAGTAACGTTTGTATCAAAATACAACACGCATTACGTTTTTCGGTCTGCTAGTAGAGCAGCACGTGACTTCCCAGCCGCTACGTCACAAAAACTTACTCTCACGTATAATAATTCTTCCCGTGTCGTCATCAAACGTCATCTGTACATGTAAGCATCTGATAATTTCTTTGCCGAAAAGGTACGGCAAGTAATTTGCATTTTTAAACAAAACAGTTCTGTGTATGTGTGCCTTTCTTGCGTGCAGTCAGGACGGTTCCGCAAGTCATTCCATACAGACCTGGCGACAAGGGTTCAATTCTCGAGAGGGCAGAATTGTTTTCATCTTTGTCTCCGTGGAATGGTGCAAAAGAACACGAGCAACTTACAATGGATGGAGTCCACAACCAAAACGCGAATGATGTTATCTGTCTTTCTTGTATACTGGACTCTGAACTATAACTAGAAAGAAGCATGGGTGACGTCACTCGGACCGACTTCTGCGTGCGCAGTGCCACTACTAACCACCTCGCTACCTCGACGTTTTTAACGGCTCTCGTCCTAGTAACAATTTAAAGCCGAACAGTAATAACATGTCCCACCTTCGTTTTCGTTCAGTAGAAGTTTTGCCCACAGAGTCGGTGCAAACAGATAACATTTCCCTGATCATCAACAAAACTGGTCCGTGTAATGGCGACATGCCATGTTTTCTTTGAGGTACGGACTAATGTCTTTTAAGTGTTATTTGCATATTGTACGCCAAGTGTACAAAGGAATTAATTATCAATTTCAATTACAGAATTTTCAAGAATATTTAACTGGAAATGTGGTCGGCTCCCCAAGTGAGATTGTAAAAATGGATCATTCATTTGAAAGAGTTTTAAATGTTGCGGATTCTCCGCAGTGTTTGTTGCCGTACTATATTTTCCAAACGGAGCATTTAGGGGTTACAACAAAAAAACTGTTTTCCCTCTACAAGGAATCGCTGCAAATCAGCAGTAATGACAAGTAGTATAATATTTCGTTGTGACATTCACGTGTTTAATTCAATGATGTTCAAGCTTCAGCCGGAACTGGAAGAAACTTTGCGGTAGTTCGAGATACCAACTGAAATACTTTTTAAAACCTTGTCAATAAACAACTGGTGTAACAAAAGCGCAATAAGCAAACCGTCAAAGTGGAATGAAATCGGGGTAGGCTTCAACAATCGCCCGGTAATCGCCTCGCACAAAAAATAAGGAGTATGTGTAGGCCTGCCCCGTTCGCCAACCTTCCAAATAATACTTCGACACGCTGCCGAGACGACATCTCGTTCAGTACTGCTCTGCAGAACGTCTAATTACTAAAACTACTGCATCGGAATTACAAGAAATCTAAATGACAAACTGAAATAGCAAGTTTCATTTAGTGAACGGCTGAAGTAACTTTCAATACTGTGTTGATGCACTTGGGCCCCTTCAGTACACAGTCTACACTTTTCAAGGTTGTTTTATCACACGCCTACTAGATCCAGAATAACGTAACTTTATTTATATTAAATCAATGAACCTATCATAATGTCACTTAATTCACATTTCCACGCATGTCCTAATACGGAAAAGAAAATTACCTTCCCTGGTACAAAAACTAGACGACGCTCCCAACTTACGAGAGGAGGTGTTAAATTTGCTGGGTGGAATGTCAATTAGCAGGAATATGGCATCCAGTAGCTGCAAACATGGAACGGAAAAGTACGGCTGTGCGCTTTGGGGGCCGAAAAGTTTCATGTGAAATAAATTACATTAGGGAATAAGTGACTAGTGATTATCTGGTCGGTTGTAGTTATAACGGCTACTTTAAAATCATGCATAACACGTCTTAAAACAGAAAAAAATAGTGTCAAAATCTTTATGTTTTGTAAATTAGTTGTAAAATGCAGCACTGTAGACTAATTTAACTACTTGGCCAGACATACGCAATTGTTAACAATGAATTCTAATAGCCATTACATACGAGGTGAAGGAAAATGTTTTCAAGTTTATATAACGCTTCTTATGTAAAATTATGTATCCTCTGTCTTCTACTCTGTAAAATATTACGAAATCCTAGCTTCCAAACTACCATCAACAACAAATTGTAATTAATTACTTTATGTTAACAGCAACTACTCAATTTTAAAATGTCAAAGTAACTTAAAATGTTTCCTTTCACAGGCAAGTTTTTGTCATTAACATAGATCCACATCATAGTCTCTCGCATTAACGCATAATGTATCTACGCTGCATAGTTGCAAGCGAAACCTAAATTTGCAAAGCTCTATTCTGAAGTCACTTATATAATTAACAAATATGATTGATCAAAAGCCGCAAATGTACAAATGATGTGAACATATCACGCCATAAAATCATTGCCAGATTCAAATCCAAAAAACAAAAATGATAAATCCACGTTTGATCATGAAAAGGTTCAAGACTGATGAGAATCTCAGGCGTTAAAATCTCCGGGAACGCACACAAATATCTGCAAATGGAAAATAATGTTTATATCATACTCGGTATTAAAAAACTGGTCCTCAATTCAAAAATTATAAATATGAAGGTAAATAACGAAACGACTGTGTCGCGAAATGAATCACAGTGAAGAACGCAATCGTTCATAACCCCTCCAAGCATTCTTAAACCCACGCCCTTGCAAGCACCGAAAATACGCCATGGCAAACAGACCTAAGCTACAACTGAGTGGCCAAAATCTTATTTTAGATTTGTTACATGCTTATCGTACGTTGTACAAGTTTAACAGAACAAGCGGGTGCACGACCACTGAGGTCGACGCCCAAGTTTGTAGTTGGTTACCTGTAGTCCAGCGTCCTGTTATACCATTGCATCTTACGTCTTCAAGTTATGCACAACACCAGAAACTTGAATGTTCTTGTTAGGTTTCATAAAGCAGTTTCACAATTAAACACCACACACATCACTTTCAGCAATTACCCTAATCTCATCTCCATTGCATTACCGTTACCGTAGACTAGATCCTTTCCAGCTCCAGAACAACAACTCAAAATATTTCAACACACACATATACAGAGGCGTAGCACTCGTTTACCGCTTCGTTCTTGTTTGACATGGATTTGCCGATACCTACCGACATCTAGTACGACAATTTGTAACTATAATACGTAGCGGCAGCGCTCGACACTAAATTGTATACCTGCCACTACAAAAAACTGAAAATTTATACGCACTGCCAATTTTGTAACCACGATATTGCCTTAAAAAATGAATAGGAGTAATCAATTAAACGTGTAGTTATGATATATGTGACTGGCAAAATACGATAGAGGCATTGTACCTATAAGAACAATATCTCTCGGAAATAACACGTGTCACCTGCCGAGGTTCTTTTAAACTCCATTGGGCAGGAGAATGGATGGGCGCCAGAGCCGGTGTGGATACAAAAGCTAGAATGAAATCCTTTGCCCCTTTCAAGGATAATATAAAATGACCATTAAGACCTGTAAACTTCATCCAAAAGTTTTCAATCCAGTGCCAATTAACAACTCACGCTTTCATGTAAAATAAGTTGAGTGAGATTTCAGGTTCTCATGGCAACAAGTATGAACACGAGCGACATCTGGGATGTAATAAGATATACTCTGTTAGAAACTGGCCGTTTCAGAAGTGCTTATGCCTTCACCATCATCATTTGAAAAATGTAATAACATTAAGACATGCAGCACACCTGCACAAGACAGACAGACAAACATTGTCAATGCTGCCGTGATACAGAAAGGGAAGAAATGAGTTGGGAGCATGACAGTGAAATTTGTACTGCCATGAGACGTTCTGTGAATGCACCAAAATATTTTTGATTTCCTGTTTTTTTTAAATATTTGTGCACCTTCTCCACTTCATTAGCAAGGATAATTGGGAGTTTACTGTATTTCAATATATGTATGTGTCTACACTGAAAAGAGGGATACACTTCATCTTTCCATTCCCTAACTGGCAGCGTAAGACTGACCAGATAACTTAGCTTCACGCATCTCACACATGCTTCCCAAGGAGCATTCCAAATTTACAACCTTTTCCTCCCTTAAGCTACAGCAGTCGATATGCTGATAGTAACTGATATGGGTGCAGTGGCAGTGACAAGTTACCAAAGGAGGGGAAAGGGGTAGACTGTCCCTAGTTGCCCTGATCCCCAAGTCTTCAGTGCCAGCAGCAATGAGATTCAAATCTCCACTGTTATACGTATGAGAACAAGGGTAGCAACATTTCTGTCTTCTGGGTTGTTGCGCTGTGTAGTCTGGTTGATGCTAACCAACATTTCAGAGGTCATACTGTCTCCATCATCAGGGCGATGATGATGGAGACAGTATGACCTCTGAAATGTTGGTTAGCATCAACCAGACTACACAGCGCAACAACCCAGAAGACAGAAATCTTCATACTCACTGCTGTGAAAACCTCAAATCTTACAAGGTAACAAGTTACACATGATTAAATTCAAGTCACTGCCTTGGCCATGGCACTTCATAAATCGAAATAGCCACACCTTTCCAAGTTTCTGCAACAGAAAAACTACATCTTCAATTCACCAGTAAATCGTTTATGCCGTTTGTTAGTACCATGTGATGCTTTCAAATAAATTAACCTCTAACTGCCAAAAGGGACACCCATGTCCTGCAAAATGTTTGTGACTGGTCGAATGCGAGTGCCCTACTGTCACAATATTATAACAAATTTTATGTATTCATAAAAATAGCAACTCATATGCATAATGTGATCCTACAGACTTCTTACATTATGACAGGTTCATTTTTAATTGTATCTCCCACATCGAGGGGTGGGTTTTCTTACTAACATCACACTCAAACCTGCAAAAATGTTGAAATAATTAAAACAGTTTTCTTTCCACTTAAATTCCCATGAATCCAACAACCCTGAAGTTTTTGCATATAACAAAATGCTGCGTCACATTCCAAAACTACAGGACATGTAATAGTTTGTTGCTCTTTCCAGACAGGTGATACAACACCTTGCTTCTCTATTCTCATTCATATACTTCAATCAGATCCCCCCTGTCTAAATGTCACCCCATTTCAGTCTGTTTTTTCTGTGAAGATGCTGTAGAATTCACAGGACCAAAAGAATGTATTTTCTTAGCATGCTAACTGTCATGCATGAGCCGGGATAGCTCAGTCAGTATAGTGACTAGCTTCGGGCTGGACAACCGGGGTTCGATCCCCGACGGGGGCAGAGGATTTTTCCTCTAGCCTCTGGGGCCCACCCAGCCTCCTCTACAATGGGTACCGGGGTCCTTTCCTGGGGGTAAAGCCGGCCGGGGCGTGATGCTGACCACTCACCCCCATCTAGTGCCGAGGTCAAGGAAGAGAGGAGCTATATCTCCACTCACCCCAAACGCCTTCATGGCATATAGTGGGACAAACTTTACTTTTACTAACTGTCATGCAAACAAGGAGACGATGTTAATCACATCATGTCCACTTCTTCGCTGCCACTGCTGCATTTGTAGTCATTCTAAACTTCTATGCTGCACAAATATTCATCTGATTCACACAGATTGTAAATCTGTATTCAAAATTTTTATTGGTCCTTTGCTATTTATTATCTGAAAATGACTTTGAAAGACCTAATCACTGTTAAATGTTAAACTATACCATAATAATAAGCGCATCACAAACAATATTATTTATTCTCATTTCACACAGCTTGATATAATTTTTATTTCTATCTTACAAAGCAAATTTTTGTTGTCACTGAAATGGAGAAATCTCAGTATTAAAAAATCTGTCTTCTGCTAAGAGAGAATATAAAATTGTTCTCAGTGGACTGCATCTTTTATTGTCCTCCAATTATATAAATGTTGCACATACGCTAATGTACATCCTGTAAAGCTGAAAGAATTGGGGGAGGAAGTGATGATGAGCTGTTTCAAGGAATTACCCAGGAATTTGCCTGGAGTAACTGAGGAAGATAAAAAAATCCACAATCAGTATAGTCTGTGCCAGTATATTGATTTAAACTAGGAAACTCCCAGATACAAGTCAGAATCGTTACCATTTGAGGAAACTTTCCTGGTCTGCTACCAGTTGAAACAGACTTGCATCTTTCATCCTAGTGCTACATAAATAATTATTTTATCCACCTGGGACCTCTGCCCTGTTTAGACCGGCTTTTTCCCTCTGAAGCAATTAGGATAAATGGAGTGTTCAGCACACTCGAATTGAGCTCTTTCCCATAACAATAACAACACCATCATCCTGAAGATCTTTCAGAGCATCTTCAAACATTTCACGTGTAATCATCTGGGGAAAAAAAACAAAGCTTATTTTGTAACAAACAAAAGCCACCACAGAGAAAAACATAAATATTGCTAGTTGTTTGTGTGCGAATCCTGCCTAATGAGTGGCAAATCACCAGCTAACAACTTCATACTGACTAACCAACAGGCGACAAAATTTCATATTCCGAGTGTCGCAAATCTGCATGTGGTATTTAAGTGCATACTAATGCACTGCCACTCATGTTAATGCTTCACTGTCAGAAGCAACAGTGTATGAGAAGCTAAGACTAAGTCACTAGCCAGAAACTCATACAGCTCACAACACACTATGCAGTATTAAACATAATACGGTAAAACCTCTCTAAGTTGGACACTTGGAGTTCCACAAAAATGTGTCCAACTTACAAAAGTGTCCAAGATAGAGGGAAAGAAAAATATCAGATTGTGGTCTAATGACAATACAATCTATTTACTTACATACACTATCTACTGTAGGCTTACTTGAATTAAGAATTAATGACAATAGTATTACCAATAATCTTTTGAAGCCCACTCCCATGCATTGCACATTACACCCCAGCCTCAATAAAATTTTCTAAACTTTATTCCACCAATTTTCGTTTCCCCATCGCAAAAAGAAAAATTCCATTTCTGTTAACAGTTTGAACTCAAATGCAAGCACAGTACTGACGAAGTTAAAACTGCGTCTTCTGCAATACTGTAGTCCAGTTAAGAGTTCAGCAAAAGAATAGTTAAACACTTGCAATGCATTCCAATGATGGGTTCAATGTCCATAAGATAATCCTCCAGAGAGGAAATTCAAAATTCAAAATAACAAAATATATAACTGAAAAAGTTTCCCTGAAAAGCGTCAAAGTTAAGTGCATGAACCTGTCCAACTTACAACAAAAGGCGTGTTCAAGTTTCAGGATAAATGAGTGTCCAAGATATAGGGTATTGTGGACATGTAAAATTATAGGATATTCGCTGGTTCCAATTAAAAGTGTCCAATATAAAGGCTGTCCAACTTGAGGGGTTTTTACTGTATTATTAACAGATGTGATTTGAAGTCCTTTATTTAATATTTGCTTTAAGTTTTAAACTGAGGTAACATTTTGAAATATGACAGACAAAAGAAATGAAATTCCAGCATGTTTCTCATGCTAATCATTTAAACTTTCAGAATGGATTTTGTTGGCCCAGGATAGGGACAAGTGGAGGGCTTTGGTTAATTCAGTGATGAACCTTCAGGTTCCCTAAGCCAGCTAATTAGTTAGTTAGTGAAGTGAGTTACTTGTTCCAACTTATCATTGTGCAGTGTATCTTATAAAGAAATTACTATATCATTGACAAAGTGTTATGACAATAAAACACAACTCCAAGGATTTGTGTCTGTAAATTATTCAATACACATTTATATTATTGTTATTACACAATAAGTTACTATAAGTTTCCCTGATGCACGATCTGTATACCTCTGAGGTTAATCTCACCTACCAAAATTTCCCTGATCTAACCTAAGATGCAGGGTAGAGAATAAATATGGGCAGTAAGTGTAGCAAGGTGTAGGCCGGGTACAGGCAGTATGCCAATGTGGAACTAGACAAAGACCACCATAAGCATGCTTCATACGATCAAAAATTCTATGAATAACACAAAAAGTATAAATAATGATCTACAGCAAATAAGTGACTTACCAGCTGAGAAGTCTCCTTAAATTCTACAAAAATCTTCTGATAATTGAGTGTCACAGCTCCCTGTTTACTGGCTATCAATTTCTTAAGGGCTTGTGCCACTTCCATTCGGCGCTTTCTGCCGGCACTGCTAAGCCCAGTGGTCAGAATGCTAACATCAATCTTTCCAGAAAGAGGATCAGTAGCTGACTGCTTCAAAGCTTCACGATGAAGCCTGCAGACACAGAACATCTGTTACTGCAAAACATATTTAGAGTAGCAAACTGTCTCAAGACGATACTTTAATACTTCTATTATCAAAGAAACATTCCGACACAATATTGGTTTTAACCTTTATCACGTGGGGAAAGTTGTTTTAAACCCCCATACTACTGTCATGGTGGGTTGTTACCACCTTTAGACATCTTCCTTGAGGACCATTACCCCCCCTCTTCTCACTCTCTCCTTGCATCCCTCCTCTTTTCCCTCTCTCTGGGTCTTTCCTCAGCCATTTAGCCAGTGGGACTTGGATCTTAGCCTCGAGATCTGTAATAGTTTTGGTAACCAAATTATCTAACATTCTTTTGGCCTGAAAAACTTCATGCTGCAGGCAAGCGTCCCTCGTAAGTCATTCTCTCTTCATGTTTTTATATTTCTAGAGAAGTGAATTTCTGTTTATATACTTGCAATACGCTATTTTCCCTTCATGACTATACTACAGGGTTAGTTTTAGAGTTTAAGTTTTGCTCATTCACTGGAAGTAAAGCATTCACAGCTAGAAGCTAACCACTCATGTCTAACACTATGGTCTAACATGTGTGGAGCTTTACCTCCACAGTGCTCAGGCACAAGAGTGTTACTATGCACTTAAAAGTTCACAATTTTAACACCTTCACTGCTTACATGCTATGTTATCTCATTACTGGTCAACAGTAAATCCTTCAAGCTGGTTAATTTCCCTTTGTTACTTAATCTCTACATCCCTGCAACAGAACTCACTTAATGTAATGGGACAAATTATACTGATTACAACACAAGTAGGTTTCAAAATTCAACATTTCAGTTCCTCACCTCCATGCTTCCTCCACATCAATGTCCTCGACCACACCGGAGAAACGAAGTTTTGCATGAGCCTCAGACAAACGAATCAGTGATTCTAGCTGGCGTGGATATGCAGTGATCTGTCCACGTCCACTTCCAACTTTACGCATATCAACATAAGCCTGGATCAGTCGCTGAGAAGCTAAGTCACTCAGCTTTGGATGAATGTTTTCTCGTGCATATGCAATATAGTCTCGCAGAATGCCCATGTCCTGAACAGATAAAAAAGTAGGGAATTGAAAAATGGCAACAAGAAACAGTATTATAAACTTCAAACCATGATTTTAACAAGTTCAATACTGTTGTGTTATTAATCGATTATAAATAAAAAATTTAAACCACCATCATATATTATTTACAACTGCATATAAGCAGGACTGGCAATAAGGGCAGACATGGGGCAACACCATCTACCTCATTCTAGAGCTACTTTTAAGAATTTATTTCCAGCGTCTACTGCCGTTCATGAGAAGACATGTAGGAATGAATCTCCTATAGCAAATAGGAAATATGCACTATGTATGCACCAACACACTGATAACACCTAAGAACTGGTTAACTGGGCTAGTTCCCATCAACTAGTGCACAACAAAGGAATGAACTGGTTACCCAGCAGCCCTGAAGATGAGAACAGATGAGAGAGAGAGAACCTGATGTGGCTTGTAGTCTTTCATCAACTTCAGTCACTGCAAAAGCTTCACTTTATAATTAATATATTATTACAATTTCCAAACAACTTGCTCAAAATCTAAAAAAATATACAAATAAAAACAAGGGGAAAATTTTTATGAAGGATTTATATGTTATGCAGGAATTAATTGCAAAGAAACTTAAGCAAAATAATACTGTCACATATGTATGGACTGGGGTCACAAACACAGCTACCCACACCCCAGTAATGTTAGAATGTCAAGTGATGGTGCAAGCCTGACAGTGACTGTGGCATGACCGGAGTGAGTGGTTACCAGAAAATCAACTGCTTTCTGCCAAAGCCAATCCATAAGTTCTTCCAGTTATAGACACAGGACTAGGCAAAGACAAGATGTGGTTCACTGGAAGAGCTGGCTCATCTAGTTAAACAGGGTATACAAAAGATGCTGTTGGTCCATACTGATCAAAGAATCAGGTGTATTTCTCCAGTCTCTTCACATTCTTCTATATAGTTGAAGAAAAGCATCATATTTAAAAAAGATTGTCTATATGAACATTATTCACCTGTTGTTTTGAGAAGTAACAAGCGGTTATCGAAATGCAAAACGCTATGCAAGAAAAAGTCACAGAAGATCAGATCAGATCAGAGTCCATTTCCATGCAGACATAAAAAATGGATGGCTTCATGGAATCACCAAACAGTGTTCTTCCTACAAATGTGTGTACTCAGTTTGGTAGCTTCACAGCCTTTACAATATATTTAAATACAATATATTAACATGCATTACAGCCTATCATAACAGAGAACTAAGCAACTATCAATGTTATTTATCTAACATGAAGAAAAACATACGGGTGTTAAAGTTGGATATTTACATCAAGACAGGCTGTACATGACAACACCGTTAAATACGCCAAGAAAAACTGAAATAATTTTTAACAGGACAAAAGAGAAGCATTACATAAAATTAGAAATTCCCTAACAAGAAGTAAATGGTATATGCTACCCACAAGATGAATATCCCAAGAATCTTTAATAAAGAATTATTACTGCAAAATGGACAACTAATTATTTTCTACAATCACTTTAACCACTGGTAACTCCTAATGTAGAGGAATATAAGTCCAGGAGCCTCTGGAATACAAAGCAGAAACGCTAACCACCACCATTCCTACACAACAAATTCACATACCATAAGCTGCTCCTCTTCTTCATGCCGACTCTGAAAATACAGTGACACAAGATGGCGAGCCAGTCGCCTGTCATATACTTCATTCTGAGGATCAAGCATCAGGAAGATCAGATCAAACCTGACAGAGTGAAAAAATCAAAAATGTTTAGAGTTCAGCTCAGTCAATATAGTGACTAGCTACGGGCTGCACGACCGGGGTTCGATCCCCAACGGGGAGCAGAGAATTTTTCCTCTAGCCTCTGCGTCCAGACCGGCTCTGGGGCCCACCCAGCCTCCTCTACAATGGGTACTGGGGTCCTTTCCCAGGGGGTAAAGCCCTCATCTAGTGCCGAGGTCAAGGAAGAGAGGAGCTATACCTCCACTCACCCCAAACGCCTACATGGCACATAGTCGGACAAACTTTACTTTAGAGTTCATACTGAAAACTTCTCAAATCATATACATGGCAAGTGAAAGATTAAATACAACTAAAATCCAGTTGAAAGGCATTTTTTCAAAATTTGGACTGTGCTTGAATAATGAAACCTGAGATATTCAGACAGGACTAGACATTTAAGCATTAAATCAGATACTTACAAATCCTTTAACATAAAGTTCTTAAATGTAAATATCATAAAGGATCGAAGAAACCCAGTTCGGAATGGTAAATTAATACATGGTGTCCTGAACTGGCTACAGTCAGCCTACTTCTTTCTTTGCTGGTGGCATCAATGCCTTGCCCTGGCAATGGCAATGTGTCAGTATAGAGGGGCAATACATTGAAAAGAAGTAATCGTTTGGTGATTCTGACATATACGTTTTGTAAATAAAAAAGTTCAGGTCAACCTTGAACCACTCTTGTATAATAATTTTGTGACTAATCTTGTGTGGTAAAATGCAGTCTCTTGAAGGAAAATTTAAATTATACGACCTGAAAACAAGTTAGCACACGCTGAATTTCCACTTCTACAGTATACCCACCTTGACATGAGTGTGTGAGGCAGCATAATGTTCTCAACAATGGTCTTGTTCTTATTCCACTGCGACTCACAAGGATTTGCCGCTGCTAGAATGGATGTTCGAGCATTCAGCTGGCAGATAATTCCTGCTTTGGCAATGCTCAACGTCTGCTGCTCCATTACCTTCAAAATGCAAATTAATATTTTACTCGTTCACTACATGTACATATCTCAGTATACTGAACATTAGCATAACGGCAGGCAACACACTTAAAACTGATGAAGACGTGGAAATAGTGATGGAAAAGTAGAAAAATACTTTACAAGTTTTACACTGTATTATCCATATTGAATATTCAGTGATCACCTGAGGATATATGCCTTGTAAACCTACTTTCCGACTACCTCTTTACTTTGGGAGGCCAATATTGCACATATAAGTCATGAAATCTAACTGATTATGAAGACCACTGCTTCAAATATTACACTACAAAATACTGATAAACAAGAAGCAGTAACCAACAAAGAAGTTTCGACATAAGCAGAGGGCAAAAGGTCTAAATTGTCGATTTACCTCGTGAAGAATGCTGCGAGTAGAATCATTCATCTTGTCAAACTCATCGATGCAACATATGCCATTATCAGCCAGCACTAACGCACCACTGTAAGACATATTAACATCATTAGTCATAGAGAAAATAAATTAAGAGGAAATCACGAAGTTTAAAGATAACAGGTCAGTGGTTAATTTCACATTCCAGTAAGACAGATGGGAATTAAGTAAAGACTCATGCTTGGATTTCACCGATCCTGAGAAGGCATACAATATTACACAGACAGAAATTTGGAAAGCATTACACAGGACAATGGACTATGAATGGCAAGAAGCAAGAACTCTTCTGACAAATATCAAAACAGTGGAGTCATATAAGGCAAAAAACTTATGGTTTCCAAAGTTAAGAAAGATAAGCATTTTACCTGGTAATGGATGAGATAAAAATGACAGAAGGAACGGAGAGTGGAGTACCAAAAATTATGATATACAGACAGCACAGTTCCATGAGAATAAAATTAAAGCACGTTGGAAAAGAAATTCTGAAGGGTTGCTGCAACGTGTAAAGATTTTGGATTATATGTCAGTGTAGATATAAGAAAGGGCCCAAATCCAGCACCTAACCCTGCCCAGATAAATCCAGCACACACCCTACAACCTTATTTGCCAAAGATCCATTTTGCTATTATCTTCCCATCAAAATCTGTACAAATCAAAAATAAAAATTAATTAACAAAATAAATTTCTCCAGTTCTAAGTTTCAACAAGACAACTGTAGTAACTATGGCAGGATATGTACAGCATAGCTGCAATGATATACTCACGTCTGCAGAACAAGCTGCCTAGTTTCTGGGTCCTTTGTTACATAAGCTGTAAGCCCAACGGCCGAGGATCCTTTGCCTGACGTGAACTGACTACGAGGCACCAGGTTGTACATATATTGCAGTAGCTGAGACTTACTGGTACCCGGGTCACCACACAGAAGAATGTTAATCTCTGCCCTAAACACAACACAGAATACGTCCTATAATATCCTTACAGAGACACGGCAAGTCTATGGAACTCCTGTGCTAAAACTCTCGGCCCTTGGATGACTCAGATCTTTGCATACCTTTCTCTTCTGTCACCTATTACCATGGAACAACAAATCCCAGGTGCCAGGATGATACAGTTTTCTGGAGCATTCATATATGAAAATTCTTAAAATTGTATTTCCAGTTTTGTCATGCAGATTACAGCAGAAAGCAGTTCAAACGACTTCATCACATGGCTAACTACAGAACGTAGGGATTTTAAACTTTTCACTGCCAAACCTGTTGAAATTCATCACATTTCACTCTCTGATGAACAATACTCGACTTAAGGAGGCAATCATCAAAAAATATATTTTATAAGTAAGAAATTTCAGTGAAAATGTATAGTTTGTAACCTATGACTAAAATAAATAACATGCAACATCATGAATGTCAGGAACATGAAACCCAACTGCGGTAAACAACTCATGTTAAACTGCAGTGACGGGGAGGAATTAGCCGCAAAGACATCCTGGAGTTTCTTAAGTATGACAATGGACACAAAATTTAAATATTCAGTCAATTAGGCCTATCAGCTACATTTTGAAAACAACTGTAATGAGGGTTTAACAGCTGTGAATCATAATCATTTTACATTCAAGAAAAGTTAATTGTGAAGTTGTCTCTTCCTTAACAACTAAGCACGAGACAACTTTACTTTGAATCTTAATTAAGTATTAAGGATAATCCAATAAAAATGTATGAAAGAGTGGAGATACAATGGGGACTATACTGAAAAATTGCAAAGCTGTCATAAACCTACCTGCAACATACGGGCAGTAATTTCTTTAAAGTTTTTCATATGACTCACCCTCAAAGACCAGAAAGCCAATGGTTAATATAAAATTTGTACTAAACTCTCTCACAAAATTTATAATTCCGAACATAATTTCCACACAACTACACTCAACCGAATAAAACACTACGAGAAAAATCAAAACAGATGAAGATGATATTAAAAGGAGAAAATACTTTAATGTAATACTACACATATAATTTTAAAAATTAAGTACCTGAAATTGCCACGTCCCGAGGCTGTGAAAGTTTTCTTAGTTCCACCAAACAACTGTAGAAGAATACCTTTCTTAATGTCCTCATTTTCATAAATGGATGGGGCAATAGCACGAGCTAGACGTTCATAAATATCTTCCATTTTCGACAGTTCTTCCAGCATTTTCACCCTCTCAGGAGAGAAAAGATGATCTTTCCTGCGAAAATTAAAAAATATTAGTAACATTTCATGAAGTGAACACATATTCTGATCGTGTTACAATCTTTGATGCCCCACTCACCCTTCTTCCTGATCATATAAACGCCTGGTGTCAGCCTTGCGAAAGTGCACTACATCGATGTGTGTTTTGTAGACAGCCCGAATATTGCGCATGCGAGGGTTCACTTGCATGGGAATTGCTCTGTATATCCCAGTCACTGCGACTCGATCGCCTGCCTGTACAGCATCTACCAGGTCATTATGAGCATACAGAACCACAGTATGAGGAGTCTGACCTGCATGGATATCATCTGAAACAAAATACACAAGTCTGCAAACAAATATCTTTTCAGCCACAGCCTACATACTATTTCAATAATACAATATTTTATTTTCCGTCTATACACAAACTTAAAATAATGTTGTTTAAAATTACTTAAAATTATAACATTCTCAGTAGATACTGCATCTTGTTACATTTTTTGTTATCGACAACATGTTTCAATGTGTATTACATCATCATCAGGTCTATCAATTTTAATATATTTTAAAAACTGTTGTACATCTTGCGTTGCGTATATTGATTAATTTGATTTGTTTAATTTTAAGTTTTTGTCTCTTCCTTTAAATTTGGAGGTTGTGCTTGGATGTTTTATATCGGGTTGTAATTGATGTGTTGTGTGTCCGATATTAAGAGACGGTAGACTGCGCAGTCTACCGTCTCTTAATATCGGACACACAACACATCAATTACAACCCGATATAAAACATCCAAGCACAACCTCCAAATTTAAAGGAAGAGACAAAAACTTAAAATTAAACAAATCAAATTAATCAATATACGCAACGCAAGATGTACAACAGTTTTTAAAATATATTAAAATTGATAGACCTGATGATGATGTAATACACATTGAAACATGTTGTCGATAACAAAAAATGTAACAAGATGCAGTATCTACTGAGAATGTTATAATTTTAAGTAATTTTAAACAACATTATTTTAAGTTTGTGTATAGACGGAAAATAAAATATTGTATCAATAGAACACAAACATGACGCAATTAAGATATAAATTATACTATTTCAAATTAAATCATTTATATGGCCATATTTATCACACAATAAACTTGACCACACTCAACAGAGAGTCACTGTACCCTTTGCTGGACAGATTGAGTTATAAACTTTTAAATAAAAAAGTAACCTTACAAAAAACTGCCCTTGTTAGATTAAACAGTGTTACCAACCATGTCATCACAGATCTTTATGATTTTTATTTTACAAATTGATACCCATTAAGTACAATTTTTTTCCAGAGTTTCCATTTTCTACTGTGACTAAATCCCTACATATTAATTAATTAAAATAGGCAGTTTTTAAGATGCAGCAGCCATCTTTTTACAAATATGTGAATATCGCCATTACTTAAAAAATCATATATACAAAATTTGGTGTCCAGCAGCACTTTTTCTTAGGAAATCAATTGGTGCACAGTTTATGCATATTTCTGCAATAAGTTGGGAGTTATTACGAATGTACCAGCTTTCTTTAAATTAAAAACAAATGTGGGAATATATTTAGGGTAACACTTTTACCCAACACAAAAGACTGTATTATCTGTGTCCACGCATGTTGTGTTTTGTGTGCATGTGCATCCTAACAACCCACTTCCCTGGGATCCTCACTGACATTATACCTTCATGTATCAAGCAATCTCTTTCCACACAGTTTTCCAGTCAAAGAACAGAATGAATTTCTTGTTTGTCCTCTGCATTCTACATCTGAACTTACCAGGTGACTCCTGAAGTTTCACCATCTGTTTATCGGTAAACTGTGAGCGATTGTGGATGAGATTGAAACAGTGATTGGTGTTGCAGTTGGGACACAATGTAGGCTCAGGGATGCGGCCACGGTCTATCTCTACAGCAGTCATGAATGCACAGACAATGCACTTGAAGAAAGCCTCTCTCATCTCAGGCATAATGTTTGATGTTCGAATCACCATGCCACTGACCGTAATAAGCTGATCAATATCTGTCAACAGATAAAATATATAATGTTATTCACCAAAACATATGCTTCACAAGTGTCACAAAATGAAACAACCCTATGCTGCTGAGAATGGAATTAAGCATGAATACAATGAATATCACTATATAAGGACATGGTCTTGACACAACACACACTCTTCAGCTCGCACGCTCTGTCCTTTGAGTCGACCTAGTCCCTGAACTTGGCGCTCTTCACACACACACGTCGCCTGTAGCACCCCACTGGACACACGCTGGCTCCTCAGCCACCACAGTCCACAAACCCAGTGCTCCTCACGTGCAGCCGATCCTCTTCTCGCTCAGCGCCACACCAGACCACTTGATGGCTCCAAACTCTCTTCACACAATCCACTCTCTTACACTAGAGACCCCACACAAGACTCTCGCCACTACTTCGCCATCTACTATCCACTCTCACAACAACTACTCCCAGGAAGGCGACCTTTCATATTCGCCAGCCCAGCTGTGGAAGGTTCCAGGCCAGGAAATCTGGAAGTTTCGCTTACTGGAAAGCTCTAGTATGGAGAGGAATGTGCCATCTGGAGCATTCCACAGTGGCCACACCTACAGTCTGTGTCCACTAGCCAGGGAGGGGAGCTAGGCAGACCCTCCCCTCCAACACGAGCCTTTGGCTCTTATGCCACATCACAGTATGAAGCAGTGATCTCCTTGAGAAGCTGTTACTCACCAAGTAGTCAAAAAATCCATGTCTCTTACAGAACCCAAATGTTCATTACCATGCTCACAAGAGTCCACAAGTTTGAGGTCCTGTACAACAACCTCATAACATACTAGTATTTTAGAGTAGGAGGTTGGTAACACCCTTTCCAAGCCCCAAGCTGTAGAAACTCTTTGTTCGCTGTCTGCTGCTGCTTATTTGATATATTTATATCCAACCTCCATAACTGGAGGCTGTCTCCCCGTCTGTAACCTGAAGACACTCCATGACATGGTGGTCTTATGTCTGAGATTATAAATTATTTGAGAATTTGTGTACAACTGAAGAAAACAATGTTAAAAATGCTGCCATAAAACCTTCAACATGAACAATATACACAGGAACCTCACCTTCAGGATTCAGTGACCTCATGTTCTTGGTTTTCTCAGCATTGAATGGTCGTACTTGAATCTGATGGTCAAGCACTGCAGCTGGATAGCGCTCAAAAAACATGTCATTGATTGCCATGTCAAATGTTGGAATCACTTCTTGTGGATAGCAGACCAGCTGGCGATACAGTTCAGGATCAAATAACTCCAAATGTGCACAATTCACATTCAGAAATGGCTCCTCTAGAGTATGGATCTATTGCCAAAAAAAGAACAAAGAAAAGTCAATCGATATAACTCAAAGCATTCTGTCCCACATGCACATATAAACTGCACCTGACTTTTAAAGAGCAAAAAATAAATAAATCTCGTAGATTTGAGGTTTTCACAGCTGTGAGTCTGAAGATAAACCACCGGGCTGCAACACAAACGGTTTCATAATGTGATATCACGAGACTTACAGATTTCCAACCCAATACTTTCCCTTTCTGAATGCATACCTCTTGTAGCTTCTGCAGATACAGGGGCTCATTCAGATTCATGTCCTCCATCCGCTCATCCTCTTCTGCATTTGGATCCACAAACCGCAGCACAAACTTTTTGAACTTCTCCTTACACTGGCTCACAACCACATTAGTGCCCCATACCACCAGCTGTGGCAACTGATCTGTTTCTGAAGATATTCCTGTAGCACTGGGATCAGCTTCAACCATTTCAACCTGCATTAAACCACAAAATGTTAAAATAATCTTATTCTTTTCCACGATAATCATAAATGTACCCTACAAATGTTCTACAAAGATGCCAATCCCCAAACATTTATGAACAAAGATAAAAAAAACTGGAAATATATTACTTTTGGTCAGTGGTAATAAAATACATTGTTTTCAATGAAATTTCAATCTATGGCAAAATACATTATTTTAATAGTTCTACCTACAATCTGCTGAATATATCTGTCAAAGAACATATAAAGAAATGCCAACCCTGACAATAAATATGTTAAAACATGTAATAAATTTTATCTGGCCTTCAGTCTGTATAAGAATTCAAACATACGTACATAACAACATGTTTGAACAAAAGAGCTTCTAGTTCTGCCATTTACTACCAAATAAAGTAACAAGTCATGCAAAATGAATTCTGATTAGATACGAGATCAAGGCATAGATACCGGGTCTGAGTTCACATTCACTTGTCGAATGCGCCTGTCTGTTCTTATGTCTGGTCGCATGTGAATTGGAGTCCCTCTGATGCCTGAGTGAGGTGTTCGAACTGAAGACAAGGAACCAGGAGTCCCATAGTTCAATGGAGAGCTTAAGTCAATCTCACTCATACCTGATTCAAGAAAAAAACTAATCATTAATCAACAACAAGACTCAAAATTCATTTTAGAAGAGTGGAAGTGTGTAGAAACAGATTACAAAACCAATAATTATTATAGAAAAGTTTTTATATTCGGTGTTGTTATTAACAAGGCTGTGGAGTCGGAGTGAGAAGCAATTTTAGGTGGAGTTGGAGTCGCGAGTTGGAGTTGGTAAAAATGTACCGATTCCAATATAAAATCTTAAGAAAATACTATTTTAACACTTTCACTACCATGTGAGCCGCTGGCGGCCTCACTCTTAGGGAGATTCAATGCTTCGTAACTTTGGCTCTTGTACCCTAAGAATACAAACTGTCTGCAAATCAACTGATTTCTGCAATAACTATTAAACTTATACTGAAATATAGGTTATAAGTCTAAGAAGTAGCCTAATGATTATTGTGGTGGTGATGAAATGTCTTATGGTACCATTTACCATTTTAGTAGTTTAAAAGTTTCTATAATGATACATGAAATTCTACCAAGATAAAGGTCAAACTTACACATGGCAATTATGACAGATTTCCTCTGTATTTTCAAATATAAGTTTTATGCAAAAAATATATACATATAATTCCTAGAAAACTACCTTAATGAGGTGAGATCTGAAGATCTCATAATGACGAGAGTGATGACATATCCTCTAGGGTAATGAAATGTATTGTCTGGTGGACAATGACTAACATTACAGAGGATCTGACTGCCTAATAACAGTGACCATGTGCTTAGCCCCTTCAGAATGCAGCTATATAACATCCCCTACAGCTAAACTTATTGAAAAATTTTCATTTTATTTATAGTATGCCCATCACAAATATAACAAATTAAATTAAAGTAAACTGAAGTAAAGTAACATACACAAGCTAAACTGTCTCACACTAAATTTGTTGAAAAGAATCAAAGTAGGCCTATAATTACAAATATGGTTTTATGAGAGATTTATTATGCATGGCCAATTTAATAACAATAAATACATAAATATTTTCCAGTTGGAACAAAAGCATTATTTCATTAATTTTTATATAATGAGCATTTCATGCTTTCCGCAATTGTGTAATCATATGTGTGCCATTTTGGCATAGTAAATATATTATTATAATCACAAAACAAATCTGTTTTCTGTACCATGAAAAACGATGTGTGGCAATATGGCTTCGTCACTAATGCTGTTCTCAGTTAACCATGTCCCACTAATAATATGGTACTGTCACCAGCTATCACTAAGGAATGAAAAATATTCAATTCAATTTGACAAATGACAACAGCCACTTCATTTCCTTGTCCTCAGACAATTTATTTGTTCTTCATTTAGTTTCTGATTTGACTGGAAAATGCAAAGTGTAGTGGAATCAAAATTTTTTGTGATGTGACTGTATTACTACTTTCTTTGTTTTACCTGTCTGCTTTTTTAAAAAAGCCTTAACAATCATAGAACCTTAAAAGTCAATATATCATGAAGGACAGGTCTTCCTTCAAGTAAAATGGGGAGGTGGGACAAGTTATGAGGTTTAGCGAGATAGCATAAACACAAAAAAAATCTGTTCTTAGTATGGCACTTACATGTATAGGTGGAATGAACACCCTGTTTTAGCGCTATAGAATATATAGATACATACTTAAAATCATTGTGGTATAAATGGTAATATGAAATAAACTTCATAACTTGCTGCCTAACCTGGTCACAACTTTCACCTTTCCAGATGTTCAAATATCCAAAAATTGTGAACTCCCATATCAAACATCAAATGTCCAAATATGACAAAAAAATTGTTGCTACAAATTTGCACGTCATAACATCATTTGAGCAAAAGGGACACAAGAAATTAGTCGCAATATTGCAGAGAGCAACATCAATATTCATAGATATTTCCACCAGACTTGGTCATTTTCCTCTGCTCTCTCATAACAGTTCTTCTTGTATGTGTCAACTCTTTCCATGCCAAATTCTGTTTATCTACCCCAAACCTAGTGCTTGGATTCCCCACTGATTTTTGATATAATATCTTTTATGCACTCAAAAGGAATTCATTGTCTTGCAACACAGACATCCATCCCACTACTCGCACATAAGAAAAAACAAGCAATTTCCCACAGGCTTTGCTCACAGATTCTGAACTCACCTACAGCAAACGGACTAGTTGGATTCAAGTTTGCCGCAGGAGAAGTGGCAGCAACTGATGGTTGGTCTGAGGCTTCTACTACAATATTTTGCTGTGACCCGGTCTGTTGCTGAGCTCCCCACCGAAGAGGGGTGGCAGTTGGCGTGTCAGATCGTGACCGCTTGGAAGGAGTAATAAGAGGGCGAGGAGTTGCAGCTATTTCAGGCCTGCCAGGAGTTCGCCTCACTGGGGTGGCTGCTGATTCATCCTGTCTCTGTATTCAGCAGAAAGGGAACATTTTAATGTTGAGACAATACAAAAACAAGCAGAAAAGGACTCTTCTTCTTCTTCTTTAGCACTATGGCCCTTTCAGTGTAGCCTTGGCTTCTCTTGCGATCGATGCCCAGTCTTCCCTATTCTGTGCTTTTCTTCTCCTGCCTCTTACGCCCATCTGTTTAAGATCAGACTCCACGTCTTCGATCCACCGGAGTTTCGGTCTTCCTTTCTTTAATTTGCCAGGAGGTTTACTATTGATGATCATCTTACATCCTCTATCATCTCTCATTCGGAATACATGTCCAAGCCAGAAAAGGACTCTACTCATGATGAAATATGTACAGGAAATTTCAAAGGTAACAAACAAAGCTATTACCTACATTAATATTTTAATAATTCGGTCATAACAAACAAGTCACCACATTCCAGGATTATTTGCAGCAATGGAGTTTGCATCTACACAGGATGTTTTATGTACAGTACAGGACGACATGAAATTCTACTCTCATCCACCCACAATTAAACCTGTTTCTGCTCTAGAAACACCACTTCTGGCCATGAAGGCAGTAAATAATAAAAAATCCTTTATGTTCTTCAGTGAGACATTTCTTTCCTTTATCATTAAAATAATATTCCTTCTCAGTTATTCACAACTAATTCCCAACATTTCTTTCATTATGGGCTTCTGTGGGCTGACTTGGAAACCCAATCATCACTGTCCCTATGAAAAAATAAGTTCTGAGTTTCAAATAAACAACTTAAAAGCCAAGTTATGAAACACAACCCATTTGTAACTTACAGACTTTTCTGTGTGGATGAGAAGATGAAACAAAGTTCATCAGATGTCAGGAACACAAAATCTTATATCTGAATTTTATTATTGTCTGAATTGGATTCACAGAAGAAGGAATAAAGTTGCATTTTATGTACTGTGACATTACTGTGATCATAAATTAGGTTTCAATCTCACTTCTTAACCTTCTGACAAGTATTCAAGCACATTTAAAGCATTTCAAAATATCCATAACACATACATTCTCAAAGTCCATTTACATTTAATAAGACAGAGCTATGAAATTTGTACGATTTGAGGTTCTCACAGCGGTGAGTACAAAGATTGCTGTCTTCTTGGTTGTAGCACTGTGTAGTCTGGGAGAAGTTTACCAACTTTTCAGAGGTCTATTATCATGGCGATGAGTTCACTTCTACCAGACTACACACCGCTACAACGCAGAAGACAGCCATATTCCTATGAAATATGATTCTGAAGATGTGAAATGGCCTGGCACAAGATAATGTCTATGATGGGGTTTTACTGTAATTATAGACTTTCCAAAAGAGGGAATACTCTGAGCAGATTAACAACTATTAACTGCCCACAGAAAATTCTGCTCCAAGCTCCTGAGTTACATACATTTCAAAATCATAAAAAGATAGAATTACATACAACTCTACGTGCTGGTGTTCCTCTCCCAGGTACTCCCTGGTAACTTGGAGTGCCTGTTCCATTTTCTTCTTGTCGAGTTGGCGTACGGGCACTACGTCGTGGAGTTCGCCTTCCACTTTCTTCATCAGCTGTGTGGCCGTCATCTTCCTCATGATGTGATACCCTTGATGGGCTAGACATAACTGGCTATAACATTAAAAAATAAAATTCTATGCAGAATATGTTAAAATTAACACTTATTTAAGCCGTTGTTTATAGTTTACAATGCTGGACCAGGTGTCTTTTGTTCACTTCTCAATAAATTTACATTTATTTTAAAATTCTTTTTACATTTTCCATTTCCATTAAAAATATACCACTACTCTCATTTTTGCTATTCCCTCATTTATGATTTTCTCATATTTCCGCACCGAGCTTTCCTATTTCTCTTTAAACATAACCAAATTTTCTGCAATTTGTCATTATATTTGTAACCATTAGCCTAATTCCATTTTCTGAATCAATACTTATACATCTTTTGTTTAATAACTCGTCTCTGAAACTTGTAATTTCCCCACATCTCAATATGATTCCAGCCTTCATCTTCATTGCACGTAAGGTAAGCCCCTGCTCAATATTTCTCCTAACACCCTTCAATCTCCAAATACCTGTTTTCCACCATCTAATACCTCCTCTAGCCTCCTGTGTACATGCTTATATTTATAATTTATTTTCCCAATTACTCTTCAATTCAATGTAAAATAATAGTGGCCTGTTCTCTCTCATTCATGCTTCCATATTCTGTCTCTCGATATCCAAACACCTTTTACTTACTCCCCTCAATACAGTTCTATTACCTATTTTCCATTTTTCTAAACATTCCCCATGCCCAGCCTTTCTAATTCATGTTTTTCTATGCAGAATATGTTTTACTCATTACATTTAGTTCATATGAGACAGTACAGAGGGGTTAATCCACATATCATAAACACAGAAAAGATACATCTCTAATCTGATCCCCTGCCTTTCTTAATTGGAGTAAATGTATGAAGCTGCTGAGCTGGGGCCTTCTTGATAGCCTAAAGTTCCTCACCTACTCAAAAAATTATCCACATTTTACGGAACTAGAAGGTTCATCACCATGTTTACATGAACATCACCACTGGACCCTAACCTCGGAAAGATAAACCCAGCCCACACAGTCACACAATATTTCATTCAGATCTGTTTTAATATTATCCTTCCAACTAAGTCTATATTTCAGAAAAGTTTTACGATAAAAATTGTGTGTCTTTCTCATCCTCCTTGATTTGAACATCTTTAATAACATTATCTTCAAACGAAATAATGGAGGAATGGTCTTCTTTAAAAAGAGATGTGAATTTACAACACAAGTTTTAATTGCACCTAATTGTTGTATCATGCATTCTTATTTCCAAAAATATTAATTACAACACAGTTTTCTTCCAATACTTACATAATGCTATGAATTCTTCAAGTGACTAACGCAGACGGCCTCTTCCTTCTTCTACACGACTTTGTAAAAAAAATTCCCGCTCAAATCAAATAGACAAACACCTCCCACCAAATATTTAACATCACAGACTAATGCCAACATCACGGCTTAAACATGATTTACACTGCCACAGGTTATCGGACGTCGCAGCCACCTCATACAGGCACACCAATATAAATTGTGGCTTGCTTCCATGCAATTCAGAATCTTATTTTCCCAAACTTAATACATTCGAAACTGTAATGTAACCTGTTGGTTTGTATGGATGTGAAACGTGGTCTTTCAGGATAAAAAGTGGACAAAAATTAAGGATGTATGATGGCAAGTTGCTTAGGAAAATATTTGAATCTAAGAGAATTGCATAATGAGATTCACCATAGTTTGTACTCACCGCAATATGTTGTCACGTTGTAATAAAATCAAGACCGAATCAATAAAAGAAGGCGGGACATGTACAGCGCATGGAACAAAGGAGAAATACTTACAACATTCTGGTTGTAAAGCTTAACAAGAGGAAACCAGACAAAACCTGGGAGTAGGTGGGAGCTTAATATTAAAATGGATCGAGAATTTGAAGCATGTATTGGATTCATCTGGCTCTGAATATGGACCCGTGGCAGAAGCGGGGTTTTTCTTTATTGGCTGAGTGTACTATAAACTTTTCAAGAAAAACGCTCGTCCATGGAGCCAGCCTATATTTCCTACTAGCTTCCAATTCTCGTCTACCTTCATGAGACCTTGTAGGCAAAATGACAAAATTATAAAAGACGTAGGATTTCAGGTTTTCACAGCGGTGAGACTGAAGATTGCTGTCTTCTGGGTTATTGTGCCATGTAGGTGTAAATCTACAAGACTACATGGTGCAATAACCCAGAAGACAAAAATCTTCATTACAACAGATATTTGACATTTGTTTGTCGAGGTGTTAACTACGTTCAACAGATATTTGACATTAGTTTGTCGAGGTGTTAACTACGTTCAACTGGTCCAGGGCAGGCCCTATGACAGGCTTTTATGAACTTCATTGTGACAGCAAGAAATTTCTTGATCATCCACTAATCTACTAACTGTACTGCAGAGTTATGAATTTCATATCCGGTGTAAGAGGTGTAGCCCAAGAATCGTTCATCATCTTCAATCTGGTGACTATTCTGTCTTATAGGAATTCACACACAAAGTAAATGTTGATACCCCAAAGTTCTTTTTATTATTTTACAGTAAATATAACAAGTTCAAAGTGACTCAATAAGACAAAATGAATACAAGTAACCAGAAAGCTGAATCCACAAGTTAATTTGAATATCTGGAGTGGAAGCGAGGAAAAGAGACATTTTTGAATAAAAGCTGAGGTAGTTTTCAAAGCCAACTTTATTGAGCCTTCTTGCCTCAACATACAGCTTATAAGCTCAGAATTGAACTATAACACAGTAATTCAGTGGGGAGCGAAGATTGTCAAACAAATTACAGATCTTCCATTCATATGTGGCATTCTTATTACAAATAACAATTGAAGTAAAGGAAATTAAACCCATAAGCAATAAAGCAACAACTCAGTCTTACACCAATAAGCCATACGTCTTATATATAAAGTGGTACAACAAATAGCAGTTTTTGAAAGCAGCACATCATCTCATATGATTATATTTAAGTTACAAAGTACTGTGTATATATGGTCATGACTTCTTTTTTTTGGCAGTTTCAGAACCCAGACCTGACCCATTTATCACATTCAAAGCATCAGATTATAATTCATACAGTGATTGAAACACAAACATAATATGTAGTCGTGAAGTACTCGTGGTAAGATTATTAGGCTTCTGACCCTGTCAGAGGTAGACCTGTATTCGTTTCACACATCACTGAATATAAAATAGTTAATATACTGAAAGTTCTACTGTAAAATATCACTGTGGTTGAAGAAGCGTATATACTGTGAAAGGTAAAGAGTCGATGAACTATCTAAAATAGTCTTCAAAGGAGGTAGAAAAATTAGATTTTATGAAACTCCAGTTATTGATTGTATGTATGTAATCACATACATCGTCAGGAAAATGTTTTGATATACAATGTTTTATTATTTGTGGCAAAATGTTTCGTGTATGTGTAACGCACGGTCAAGGGATGAAAAAGAAGGTATAGCAACACGCATGCACACGTTTACACACACACATGCGACCATAAATGTACACACATACATACAATCTTTCCATTTGTAAAGTATATTGACAAAATAAGTATTATTATTATTATTATGCTAATATCTTACACAAAAATATAACACAGCACAAATTTCAATATGTAGTTGATTTGAACATTAAGCGGTTCATGGCTTCCTTCCTCCACTGCCTCCCCATTAAATTCAACTTGAATTCTTTTCTTCTTTGGTTTCTGCAAAATAAATAAATAAAAAAAATAAAACAGAGCAGGTTTCTCAACAAATAAGAGAATTTTTCATAAGTATCGCTCTATTAACCTCTACTAAGACATGTTGCAAGATGAGCACTGAAAATGTTTACAGAATGTACCAAATCTAATTGAATTTCATATTGGTTTAAACATTTTGCTGTGCATTAGTTTTTTAACACTTTCCTAAAAGAGAGCAATTTTAAGGCAAAATTCTGAACTCATTGTGAGGGTTACGTTATTATGAATATAAAAATAAAATATCACAAAAATTACCAACGCAGCCATGTTAAAATTACAAAAAACTTTTTTAAAACCATATTAACTGATTACAATTTGGGAAATTTGTCATCAAGTGACAAGCTCAAAGCATGGAACTTTTAACGGCATGGATATACATACGTCACAGTCTCTATGTATCAGAAAGTAAATTCAAATGCCACATCAAAAGCAAAGGTAATTCTTTGATGTGAAAAAAGTTTAATTTTGCAGTTTTTTCCCCCGTAGCACGTACACGCCATTCAGCATCCAGACCAGATTGTGTCGCTTTATTGACTCGGCTATACCAACTCTTTTCTTAGAAAACTAAAATTGGTATTTACAAGGTAAATATGAAAATAATTAAAGCAATACTAAGGACAGTTATTTACAATGAACCTTAAATTTTCAGAAACAAAACATTTAAAGCAACACTTTTCTTGAAGGTGACTCTTTTCGGAAACGTTGCAACGTGTTCACACGTCCATCATCACCCTAAGTGTACAATATTCAAGACCATACCTGCTGCAGCCTGTTCTGTATCATTTCCAGGATTCTCCTCTTCCTTCTTCTTCTCCTCTTTGTCTCCTCCCTTAGCCTTACCTTTGGCTGGGGTGGCAGGTTTTGGCTTGGGCTCCATCTCGGGATCCAGCACAATCTTTCCAATGTTTTTACGATCATGCATTTTCTGCATTGCTTCTGGTACCTAGTGGATCAAGACACAAGTACAGAAAATCTTTTCCCTTCCTTTAGTATTTTGACAGGTACACCAGGCAGTATCTTTTGCTGTGCAAAATTCTGGGTATCACAAGAATTATTAGACGTGTGGAAGAATGAAGAAGTAAAAACTTTCGAATGCGGGCTGTTCATAACTACGGGACTTCTGTACACATATAGGAAATTAAAATAAGGCACAATTTACATACTGCACTCTACGAATTCTACAAGAGGTCTCTCCACCCCACAGTGAGCAATGCAAGTACAATAAATGCAGTAATTTATTTTGAAAACAACTTACATCTTCCAGGGCCCAAGTAGAGTCAACAACAGGTTTAATCTTGCCATCCTTCCAAAGACTGAACACAGATTCCATGATGCGTTTGATATAGGGAGCGCCGTTCTGCTGGTACATTAGGTGGCGCAAATTAAAACCAGACAGAGTCTTGTTCTCGTCGAACAGCTTGATGGGAGACACTTTGTCCACTTGCCACCACTGGAAAATAAGTGATCACACTGTTACCAATGACTGTAACGAAGCTGTGACAAGTGACCAGATACTTTGCCCCAAAACCACAAAGTAAACAGGAGGCTGAAAGAATTATATGATGCAAAGATTTATAATTCTTACTTTTCACACATAATTCAAAGATTTATAATTCTTACTTTTCACAGAAAATAAACACGGTTATAAAATCAAGGAGGGTGAAATGGGTAGGATGTGTAGCACGCACAAAAATGCATAAAAGTGTCACTTGTAAAGTATGAAGGGAGATAATGCTTGGAGAAGTTAACCACAGATGGCAGAATAATATTAAAAACGATCTTAATAAAAGAGTAATGGTTTCTGAATGGGATTTGATGTTTTCACGGCGGTGAGTATGAAGATTTCTGTCTTCTGGGTTGTTGTGCCATGTAGTCTGGTCGATGTTTACCAACGTTTCAGAGGTCATACTGCCTCCGTCATCGGGGTGATTCATATATATATTCTGAACAATAATTATACTTTTCCAGATAATTCTGTGCCTGGTCAAGATTATGTTTAAAATATGTTCCTTTTAAAGTTGACTGTTGCCCAGATGATCTAGAAATTACCTCCTTTTATAAAACTTGAACTTTGCTTAGTGTTGAAAAAAAGCCCACTGTTTGTCCCTATCTTCAGCCAATCGAATCCATCCAACACCCTCACTCCTTTAACATCCTTCTTAAAATTGCCTTTCAATTTATGCCTAAATTTCTCAACTTCTCTTTTCCTGCAAGGCTTTCCAAGAAAACAATTCTAATTCCCCCTATGCATATTATATATCCCATTGGTATTCAACCTGGGGTACTCGTATCCCCGGGGGTATGCGAAGACATCTTAGGGGGTACATGAAATTTAAAATATATATATATATATTATTTTATGATAAACACTGAATAATCAGTAGTGTAATTTATTTAATTTATTTTAGATGTAGATTATATACTAGGTTGAATACCACTGATATATCCCACCCATCTCACTCTCCTTGATTTATAGCCTATAAATAATTGAGTACGTTAATCCGTTCTCCTCTTTGTCCTTCCATTCCTCTCATAAGGGAAATATCAATGTTGTCATGTTAAATCAATATCTGAAAATTTGCGGACTCATAGATGATTTCTGTCAGCATGCTGTGAAGAGGTGATGAAGTGGCAAAGGGAAAAGCCATTGTTCCGCCATGAATCGAGCCCTTGTCCAGACCACAGAGTCACGTCATTAACTCGGCTTAGCAAATATAATAATTCATTATTTTAAGTCAAGTGGGAATAACAATAAAAAATCATTAAACCCAAATGCAGTTTTTCTAATAATTTTTTTGTAGGCTGCCCATTATAGAATACTGTCCGATCTCTCGAGTGTTTTCGCAGTTTGTGGAAAGATAAATCCAAATCCGGTCACCTTGAAAGGCTTCTATATACATTTAACACAAAATGCCTATAAAAACCAAAGAAACAAAATCCATTTATAAAATATATGAAATTCGATTTGAGGTTTTCATGGCAGAGTCTGATGCCGGCTGTTTTCTGGGTTGTTATGCCTCCATTATCAGGGTATCGCCCTCATGATGGACGTAGCAAGGACCTCAAGGGTTGGGTTCAAAAGTCTCAAAGGAAAAGACCTATCTGAAGACCAAGGTGTGGATGGGAGCGTGATAAGAAAATTGATCTTAGGGAAAAAGGTGGGAGAAAGTAGACGGGATTTTTCTGGCTCGGGTAAGGGACCAATCACAGGCTCTTGTACACACAGGAATGAACTTTCAGGTTCCACAAATGTCATGGGCTTTCGTGATAGTTGAGCATAATCTCAGAAGTTAATTATATCGAAAATATTACTTAAACACTAATTTAAAAATTGCCAAAACTTGTCACTTTCAAAATATCTGCGCAACCCACGTCGCTGTTCTGAAAACACTCGATTCAGTTTCCTATTTAAGATCAGAAACTTAGTAGGAATTTCCTTATGATGTGTCTACTTACTGATCTTGCGACACTGAAGAAGCTTTTTGTTTCACCTGTTACAACATTTGAAGATCCTGTAATTAAAAAAGGCACAACAGTTACTGAATAAACGTAGTCCTAAAATTATTTAACACCTCCTCGGGACAGCGACCAACGATAAATTCATGTTAACGTGGTAACGAACCTTTAGGTTCCATAAAAGTCTGGGAATTTCTTGAACTAGATCAACAACTGTTAACTTTTCAAGTAGGACTCTGCTTAGCGGAATTAGTTAACCTCTTACTGTTCCACTGAAGAATATAATTAATCTGGTACTTTTCAGTAATGTCTGGTAATAAATTGGTGTATAAGTATTTAAATATAAAGCTAGATAAATGGACAGACAGACTACATATACAGCGTGTCCCAAAATTGTATAGACTGGTTTAAAAAACCCACTTATCTTCAAGTGATTAATTTTTTTATTGCATATTATTCTAAATACATTCCATCTGCAGCAAAACAATTGTTACAACGATCATAAAACATTTCAAAGCATTGCTGAAAGTCTTTCTTAGGGAAGTCGACAGCAGCTTTGTGAATGTCTTCGGTGTAATCAAAACGCACGCCTTTCATTTTCAAATTTAGTGTAAGAAACATAAAATAGTCTTAAGGTAACAAATCAGGCGAGGAAGAGGGGTGATTAAGAATCACGACACCTTCGAATGCCAAAAGCTCACGAACGACAACGTCTTTGTGAGCTTGTGGTACCACTGTGCGGGTACGCAGTGGCCGCGCGGTCTGAGGCGTGGGCCTTGTGCCACTGGGACCGTGGGTTCGAATCCCAATCAAGCCATGGATGTCTGTCCACGTTTTTCTGTGTTGTGCTGTCCTGTGTACAGGTAGAGGCCTTGAGACGGGCCGATCCCTCATCCAAGGAGTCCTACCGAATGTCTATAGATCAAAACCAAGCAAAAGTTGGGACCCGCAGTGCTCAGGCACTTGAAGAACGGGTCATCCAAGTATCCAAATACCACTGTACAGCTTGGAAGGAAAGTGGAGGATTAGAACATTGTCCTTGCAGTGAAAGACATGGCTTCCTATAAAAGTACACGTTTCTTATTTGTTCTGGTCTCATCTATTCGTCTGTAAGAAAGGAAAGTCACAGGTTTAGAGTCTCTATCCATAAATACTTATAAGTTTGTCAGTACGTACCATAGAGAATGTATCTGCCCATCGGCTTCAGTAGCGAGTAGCCTCTGTTACATTCATCCCCACACAAACAGTCCAGGACAATGTCCACGCCCTCTGGCGAAAGTCTGCAAGTTCAAACACATAGAGAGAAATGTTTAGTGGTCCAGCGATCACGTGTAAACTTATTTTCCGTCTACTGCTCGTATTTTCGTAAATAATAACATACATAGGTCGGGGGTGTAACTAATGAACTTACTTGCGCACTTCACTGGCGTAGTCGCTGCCTCGCTCCAAGAGATGGTCAATGGACGCCTTCAGGGCCTCGTGCTTGTTCTTGGAGGCGACGCCGAACACCGTGACGTCAGAGACAGTCTTGCTCAGCTGCGCCACCGCCTGGCCCTACAGCAGTTACAAAATAAAATCACGCCTCTCACACGAAATTTGAATGCAGAATAAAGTGAAGGGTGGTAAAAATTATAAATGCAACCGAAACTCGATCCAGAACACCTCAAGAACATTCTGGCTTCACTTTACACTGTCTGATACTTCCTTTGCTGCTGGACTGACATTGTCCGTGATGTGGCCGTCGGGATTTTAGTGTGTTTAAACACAGTAACAAATTTTCGGGGAGTTATGTAGTATTTATTTATTTAGTGTTCTGTCTGACGACAGGTCCACATGAACAGGATCCTTCCATCCTTTTCTCGGACTGGGACCTGTTCATATACGTTCTTGGCAGATGATCCAGAAGTGGTTTGCCATTGCCTTCTTCTGTGTGTGAATGGAGTAATTGTTGGGATGCCACGGAGGAAAACTCCGTGTTGCCTAGACCACGGCCTTGCCCAACACAAGTTGTAAATCCGAACCCGAGACCCCAGGATTACAAGGCCAGGGTTCTAACCGCTAGACCGTCGTCTCTTACTCGTGTTAATTACGCCAAACTAAAGGTTTTGAACCCTTAATTTTTCAGAATTTAGTTAAAAAATTATTTTCTTTTAATTATTTAGAAATACAGTGTCCATGTGAAAGGTGTGATGATAGGTTTTGGACACATTTCGTCTAACTAGAACCTTAATTTATCTGCTACTAGTAATTTACAATAATGTTGTCGACTGTAAAATTTAAAGTTCATTCTCTGAGGAGTTACATGAAGTTGGTGAGGGTTGCCTCTCATTCCGGATGCGAGGGGCTTCCTTATTTCTTTAAGAACTCCCCGTGCATGTACACAAATGTGACGTTAATGTTTTAAAACCGCAAAGAGACACGTGGCATTCATGAACAGTAGAATTCAGTTCTCAGCCTCTTTCTCAAAAACTCGTTTTAATATTATCGTCCATCTCCCCGCATTGAGGTGATCAGGTGAGGTCTTGTACCCCAGGGTGCTACATGACATTCCCAGGCGGAGTAAAACCAGACAAACATAGTAATTTCTGTTTTATATAAGTAGGTTAGCGGATAGAACGCTGGCCTTGTAATCCTGGGGTCTCGGGTTCGAATTTATAACTTGTGTTGGGCAAGGCCGTGGTCTAGGCAACACGGGGGCTTCCCCGGTTTCTCCGTGGCATCCCATTCACACACAGAAGAAGGCAATGGCAAACCACTTCTGGATCATCTGCCAAGAACGTATATGAACAGGTCCCAGTCCGAGAAAAGGATGGAAGGATCCTGTTCATATGGACCTGTCATCAGACAGAACACTAAATAAACACTAAATAATAAAATTAACACGACTGGGAGGGTATTTTAGTTTTTTCCAGTGAAAATGCCAATGCTTATAGAATAAACGCTTACCTCCTGAGATATGAACTGAACTAAAAACCTTCGTTTTCTTCCTTTCAGCCATTATTAATTATTCCCGGTGGTATGGTTGAAGAATGTGATCAATATCGGGCAGGGGGGCAGAAGACCGAACGACAAACACTGAGGTACCTGATTCTGGGAACAGATCGAAGTCCACAGGACGAAGGCGTCTTATTAATAGTGAGACATGGGCGTTTGTTCCTGCATCGTGAGATATCTTTCTTCTCCTAAACATCATCCAAAGTCATTTACATAAAACAATGTAATAAGGCTTTCAGTAACGCAAACGCACTCAGCGACCCTTAATAAGACAGAGGGTTCCCGTATTTCCTTACTTCAATTTTAATCCTTGGAACCGGGAAACGCGTTTTATCTACAACAGAGTCCTCGAATTTGGAGCTTAAAGCACTATGTAGTATAAACAGTGATGAAAAATACCAGACTTTGCTGTCGAGTGGTTAGTATTCGTTCGTTTTCTCGAGGTGCCAGGTTTAAAATGTTGGCACGATGACCGGCAGTTCTGACAGGTTTTACGTGGTTTTACTCAGCCTCTCCAGGTAAATATCTGGACAGTCCTTAAAATTAGGTAATTATCCTTTCAAACTCTCGTGATGATTATAAATCACCACAAGCGGCATCCAAATCCATCAATTTGGATCTCTACAGACAAATGAAATTTTGACCAGTTTTCTATTTCCTTCAGGAGAGAGAGAGAGAGAGAGAGAGAGAGAGAGAGAGAGATTCTCAACTCTTAAAATACAACCCTGATAAAGGACGATGATGCATGCGGGCTCAATGACAAAAAGACACCTGTTCCTACGGCAGACATCTGCGAACTTCTACGATTACTTGGCGATTATCCACTAGTACGTCGAAGTGGAAGGTTCACAGCCAGACGGAAAGCTGTAGCAGCCATTTATCGAAATGTCCAAGATTCTTCAGACGGTCCTACCATTTTACACCTTATATCAGGAGGTATTGCGGAAAATCGTGAGCAATTTCTATCCCAATCCCGCCAAGATACTAAGCTAGAGTCCCTAACCTCTTCGCTGCAACGTAGGCCAATGGTACAGTTTGTTCAGGGATTCAGTTGCTACCGGACATACTTGATCCCGTGCGCACAGAAAGCAATCGGATAAAAGCCAGAACGAAACTTTGTAACAGCTCAGTCTAAATCTGGTTACGTCAGAGATTTGTTATTGAATGATTCATAAAAATAGCTGGCTGCTAACTATCAGTGAGTAAAGAAATCACCCGCCTTATAATAGAACCGGAAGTTCATTATAGTCTTTACGTAACTCCACCACCAGACCACATCCTGTGCCAGACGAATCCAGCAAAAGTCCTCACACATTTCGTAAGATTAATTTTAACATTAAATACGATTTCAAGTTCTCACGGCGGTGAGGACGAAGGTGGCAGTCTCGTAGACGTTTCAGAGGTCGCTGATGCCTTCATCATCAGAGTACTATCCCAGAAATTTTCGGGAGGGGCTGAGGAAAAACGCGAATATTGGTTTCTGGGCCGACCTTCTGAACTCGCGACATGCCGCAGTGCTGCTCTACGCCGCGACCTTCGAGGAGTTGCTACGACTGAACTGCAGCTGACAGCCACCTGCCGTTTTGCCACTTCCTGAGCGCGGACGATTTCGTCCAAATTTTATTCGTACAGGCCACACGTAGTTGCTTTTCAGCGAGCGGAAATGTTCCGTGGAGATTTAACGAGATGCTCATAAATTGACATGGAATTCACAGCGCAGGGACAGAAAAATAATTAAAAAGTATACACAAAGTAAAAATATGAACATGAATTGGATTCAACTGGCTGATAACAGTCCAGTGGACAGCTCTTATTGAGGTACCGTGAGCTGCATCATAATGGCAGATAATTTCAGTGTGGTCATTCGTCCCCGACCAAAGAAGTGTTTCATCGCAAGGACTTGTACTCAGAGCGTCTCCAAATCAAATTAAATTAATTTAATTTAACTTTTCGTTCTTTTACTAGAACGCTGGCCTTGTAATCCTGGGGTCTCGGGTTCGATTCCCGGCGGTGCCCGAATTTATAACTTGTGTTGGGCAAGGCCGTGGTCTAGGCATCACGGAGTTTTCCTCCGTGGCATCCCAACAATTACTCCATTCACACACAGAAGAAGGAAATGGCAAACCACTTCTGGATCATCTGCCAAGAACGGATATGAACAGGTCCCAGTCCGAGAAAAGGAAGGAAGGATCCTGTTCATATGGACCTGTCCTCAGACAGAACACTAAATAATAATAAGATGAGGTGGGCTAGCGGTTAGAACGCTGGCCTTGTAATCCTGGGGGGTCTCGGGTTCGATTCCCGGCGGTGCCCGAATTTATAACTTGCGTTGGGCAAGGCCGTGGTCTAGGCAACACGGAATTTTCCTCCGGGGGCTTCCCCGGTTTCTCCGGGGCATTCACACACAGAAGAAGGCAATGGCAAACCACTTCTGGATCATCTGCCAAGAACGTATATGAACAGGTCCCAGTCCGAGAGAAGGGTGGAAGGATCCTGTTCATATGGACCTGTCCTCACACAGAACACTAAATAATAATAATTAACAAAGGACCCACCTCGAAATAAGCCGTGGCTACTACCCTATCCTTTCAAATTTACAGTGCACCACTGTACTTTCATGCCAGTGAAAGCTAAATAACCTCTTAACATTGATACAGCGTCGTTAAACACGCCACGAACCAATTAATCTTGAAGTTAACACAAATTCGCAATACGCGATGCTTCAATTAGGGTAAATGGATGCTCCGTCGAGTGACGGGGTTTTGTATCCGGCATTGGCAAGGACTTCTTTCGTCACAATGTGCAGACAGCCTACTCGATGGGCAAATAGGGTAAAGCGGCCGGAACATGAAGCTACCCACACAATGCGTAAAACTTTTGTCTTCTCGCCCTCCGTACGCATTCATAAGCGGTGTACAGAAATGAGTCTTGATTAAAAGTTCGTTCTTATTCAGAAATTCCCTGGTTTAATTGAATCCGAAATTTGTCACCGCGGTAAAAGAACGCGACCAGTCCACCATTCCCGTTCAAGCCTTCGTCTCCAATTCCTTTCACTAAAACTATCTCAGCATTTCACATTTCAGACATGCATGCTACGCGTCCTGCCAATTTCACCTTTCGCCCAATCAATAACAGGTGACGAGTACACATTAGAATCTTCATACCGTGTAATTTTCTCCAGTCGTGTCCCTTCATACAGGCATTAAGGGTCAATTGTTTTGACGATGTTTACGACACACACAGATAAATTATGGCGTCGGTCAGACAGTGATTCACGCTTCAAGTGATACAGCGATAGTTCTGTCATGTGTTTGTTCTCCGTATGACGTAAATCGAAAGAATATACGTGATTTGAACACATTAACAATCCGTAAGGTACAAAACTATTTAACCGGTGGCAAAATTTGGTACTAAGCAGGTAAAGACAGCTAATAAGACGTGTTTAGAGCAGTGGTATTCAAGCTTTTTTGTTCGCGTACCCCCAGATAACGCCACGGTGGTAGCAGTTAGAACGCTGGCCTTGTAATCCTGGGGTCTCGGGTTCGATTCCCGGCGGTGCC